AAGATGCTCCTGATTTATTTAAGATGAGTCCCCGTGAAGCTGCCGGTGAGATTTCTGGGATCCCGCCTTGATTACCAGGGCTTGCTGACCGCGGCAGTTTCGCACTGCGCCGCGGCTCTCTCTGTGCCTCCCGCAGGGCGACAGCCCGTCTGCCTCCGGGGCGTTCTCGACCCTGACGCAGCGCGCGCTCTGTCTCAGTTTGAATGTCTCTTAGCCGAGCCCGAAATCCGCCAGGCTCGGCGCGAGGGGGGTCCGATCCGACCCTACATGGGCGCTGTCTTGGGCCCCAGTATGTGAAGTTTTTGGGGCAGCTCGCGAGCTGCAATGTCATTGCCGCCGCCGCAACAAAAAAGCTTCTGTCACCCCCTTTTTCGTTTCCAAAAACATTGATCGGAGTCGGCTTGCGCTAAATGTCGAGGCAAAGCAGTGCTTTAAACGCTATCCCTTCACCGAAGTATCTGCGGCGGAGAGCCTCCGCTCGCTTGAAGTCCCAGAGGGCAGGCAGTTGTACAGTGCATGTGCCGATATCAAGTGCGATGTCTACCAGTGTGGCGACATCGGGGATCTATGTCAGTACTTCTGCCCCCCGAAGATCAGCCGGGCCGAGGCTCTCCGCGCAGATATGTCACTGAAGGATTTTGACGGCGCGGGCGACATCGTCTACCCCGCTACGCAGATGTTGCCTATGGGTTGGTCGTGGGCGTTTTGGTTTGTTCAACGTCTTCACCTCGAAGTTGCCCGGAGGGCCGGCGCCCCATCGGCAACGGTCGCGACTGGATCGCGGCCCCGTCTGCCGGTCGCCGGGGGCCCTCGATCGAGGTCCTGTATTTTGACAATATAAAAATGTTCGGTTTGGGGCCTGGGCCCGCTCTGGAAACGCGGGATCGCATCGTCGCTCAGTTCGAGGCCGAGGAGTTCGCCACGATGACATTAACGAGGTGTCGTCCGAGGGCGTCGCCCTGGGAGCGGATGTCGGAGGCGCCGACCCTTGCACCCGTCGTGCCCTCAAGAAGCTGTTTTGGCTTGCCACCGGTCCCTATGTGGGCGGCCGCCAGCTCGAGGTTATTCTGGGGCACCGCGTTGCCGCTTGTCTCTTCTGCCGCCCCGGTTTCTCCGCCATGCGCGCTGCGTGCAAGTTTTTGAGGTCTTCTTACGACGAACCCGGGTGCTTTGGAGGAGTGGTCGATGCGAGTGTTGATTGGTGGCGGTCCTCTATATCCACCTCCAGTCGCCTCTTTCTCTGCCGCGGGCTTGCGAGATCGCGGCTGCCGACGCCTCCTCGTCCAGAATTGGGGTCATTGAGGCCTGGCTTCCTCGGGGCGCGGTGGCGCGCGCCCCGCGCTAGAGCCCTCGACGGCATGGATGAAATCACTTTGCCGCACACTGCTTGGGAGAATCCGTCTGAGCGAGGATGGAAGCACGCTGTTGGGCCCCCTGAAGTTCCTCCGGAGATCCCTGAGGCTCGCTTTCGTGTTGTATATGCTGCGCCTTTCAAGTTCTCGGAGCACATCGGTGTCAAAGAGGGTCGTGCTGGGGCGTGGGCCATGCGTCGTGATGCCAGGGATCCGAGTCGACACTGTTCTAGACGATTGTACTTGTTGGACAATTTCGGGGCTGTCGGGGGGGGCGGCCACCTCGCACGGTCTCCTCCAGATATGCCGGCGCGTCGCTCCCCTGTCCATCGCAAGTTACATGTTGGCTCGTTTTCGCTGGATTGCATCGGAAAAGAATCCCGCAGACCCGCCCAGCAGGATCTGTGAGCGGCGCGCAGCCCGGCCGCCCCCCGGGCCCTCTGCTATAGGCCCTCTCAGCGTGGCTGGAAGGACTTCGCCCTGCCCGGAGGACAGGCCCGCGCCCGCCCCGACGGTCAAGCCGGCCCGGCGCACCGTGCGGAAGAGGCCGGCGGGGCGCCCCGCGGTGTCGGCGGCGCCGAAGCGGCGGCCGGCGGCGGCGCCAGTGCCGCTGCGACGCCCGGCCGCTGCGCCCGGCCGAGGCCAATTCGCCTTCGGCTGCTGGCGGCCCTCGCAGCCAAGCAGATCTCTCCGGCAACAGCCACCAGTCCGTCAGCTAGCGAGCGGGCCGCCGTCGGGCCTGGGGTCAGGCTCTCCTACCAGAAGTACTACGAAGCTTTCCTCGAGTTCGTGGGGGGGCCGGCCGAGGACCTTGAGGAGCTCGAGCTGCAGGTCCCGTCGATGCTGGACACGTTCCTGGACGCGGGCTGCGCGAAAGCCGACGCCGACTATCTGGCGGCGTCCGTCAAGCGACTGAGCCAAGGACGCTTCCTCGTGCTCAGCGGGTACTCAAAGGGCACGCAAAGAAACTGCCGCCGAGGTCGAGGGCGCCAGTCCCTCTGGAAGTTGCCGGCTCGGAGATCTCGGGACTGCTCTCGTTGGCGGAGCGGGGCGCGGCGCTTCAGGTGATGGCGACGTTCAGTGTGCGCATCCGCCCGGGTGCGCTGCAGGAGGAGGGTGCTGGTGAGGGGCCTCCTCCGGCCCGCGCTGGCCGGGGGGGGCACGGCGGCGCGGCCCCCCCTCCTGGCGCCGACCGAAGAGGACCCCCTGGCACCACTGAGGGGGGGGGGGAGCTCGGCCGCGGCAGCCGACCAAGACGGGCACGTCCGACGAGGTGGTTCCCCTCGACAACCCGCAGTGGCTGGGCCCTCCACTTGCACGTCATGCCCGCAGCCGCCCAGGTCATGCCCCACTCTTCACCGCGACGGGCGGCGCCATGGCCGCGGGCCGTGCTGTTCCGCGAGGTCACCGTGGCGCAGGGCCTCCAGGGCGCGTGCTTGTGCCGGCTGCGCCGCGGCGGGGCGAGCGAGGACGCGCTGCGTTCTCGCCGCGCCCTCGCCGAGGTGAAGTCGAGGGGCCACTGGGGCTTAAGACAGCAGCGTCAAGCGCTACGCCAAACCCGGCATGGTCCAGCAGCTTCTCGCGGCGCTGTCACCGGCCGCCAGGGCGCGCGGAGAGGTTCAGTGGGCGAGGCTCGAGGACCCGTTCGCCGGTCGGGCGCGCGCCTCGCGGCGGGCGCTGCAGCGGCCATCGAGCCGCAAGGAGAATGGGGCCCTCGCGGAGGTCTGCTGCAGCGCCCCTGAGTGACAAAGCTTGCCGATCAAATCGGTGTTGAGTTGATGGCATGCACCCGCAGGATTTCAGCCGCCTGCGTTCGTGCGGGGCTGGCAATGCGATCGCGCGAGTGTGCCGACTCCACCTTAGAAGACGCTGCCCACCCGGGCGTTTTTCAGCTCTTGCTTAGGCTCGCTGGGCGCGGGCTCAGATTCGTCTGGATAGGCCTTGCATGCACGTCCTGGTCCCGCGCGGGGCGCAATCCTCGCCCGGGCGGGTGGCCGGGGCCAATCAGGTATCGTGATTGTGTCTTGGGGCTGCCGGGGATGTTTGACAAAAGATCAGCACAAGGTAGAGTTGGGCAATTTCCAGGCCAACTGGGCCGCCAGTCTGTTCCTCCGTCTTGCTGCCCTCAGCGCCCCCGTCATTATCGAGAACCCTCCAGGGTCCATGTGGTGGTTCCACCCACGTTTTCGTTCTCTGATGCAGAAGTACAACACCGCTGACTGGGACCATTGTGCTTTCGGGTCTTGTTATCGGAAGAGAACCCGTCTGCTGTATGCCAATTATGTGTTGGATCCGTTGGGCTCGGATCGGTGCTGGGGCCATGGTATATGTTCCTACACAAAGCAGCTTCAGACGGAAGTGGCAGGGAAATATGTTCATGGCACATTCCATTCAAAGGCATCAGCGTATCAAATTCGGTTATGTTATAAGGTTGCTCATCTACTCTGCCACTCGTAATTCGTGGTGCTTAAACTGTCGCCCCTGGGTTTCTGTTCTGTTGTTCTGTGGGGGGGCGTAGGTTGGTCCGCCTGCTCTTGGAGGGGGCGTCGCCCGAGGCGGCCCCTTCTACTGTTAAGAATGGGTTGGCCGACGCACGTCCCCCTGGTGGTTTTAAGATATTACCCTCCCTCCCCCCGGTTCATTTATGACAATGGGCCTGGGCATGGAGGCGGATGCTTGAGCAGCGCTGGGTTTTGTTCGACAGTAAACAGCTGCTTAACTTTCCCGTGTCACTGAGTCTGCTTGCATTTGAACCAAAAAGGGCACTCTCTAAACACATGGCCCTGCGTGCTGGTGAATGTGATCTCGAGTGTCTCCGTTCCGTTGCTTTTTTGGGCCCGAACCCAAAAAATTGAAGACGGCTGTCCCTCCCTGACCTCCTTCTCTCCTCACCTCTGTTGGCAAGTGTTGCCCTTTGCTAACAGGGGTTTAGAGGCGGCTGCTTGAGCAGCGCTGGGTTTTGTTCGACAGCAAGCAACTGTTTAACTTGCCCATTTTATTGAGTCTGCTTGCATCGGGACAAAAAGGGACACTCTCTAAACACATGTGTATGTATAAATGCACGCATTCATGCATTACTGTATGTCTGTATGTATGTATGTACGTGTGCATGTATATGTTTATGTATGTTTGCATATGTATTATTTTGTGTGTACAGATACCTACATACGCGCGTGTATCCTATCAAAGCTCTGCGCGAATTTGTTGGCTCGGCGTTTGGGCCTCCTGGCAGCGCCTCCGGCGCCGCCCCTGGGGTCTGAGGTGGTTCGAGGGTTTTGTTTCGGAATGTGGTTTGCCCTTTTAGCCCCTGGGGGCCGTTTTCGAGACCGTTGACAGTCAAAAACGAATGCGGGGTGAAAAAGAGCACCAGATGGAAGAAGGGTCCCAGAATGGATTTTGAGCGGATTTGCCCGTCCCTTCTTCTTGACCGAGTTCTTCGGGGCCTATCGAACTCAGATACCCCAGCCGCCTCCAAGGTCAGCGAGGCTTTCAGGCTGACAGAGCCCCACCCTGCCAGTTCGATCAGCGAATTTTCTTCCTCGGTTCTCGAGAGGGCTTTGCGGCCGCATTCCTGTCCATGCCTGCGCCCGCTGAAGGCGTTTCTGCTAACGGGTGCTTTACTGAGGGATTTCTGCCCACCACCGGGAGGTCCTGAAGCCGGTCCCACGGCGGACGAGGCAGAGCATCGCAGAGCTGACCAGGAAGACCCTCGCGGCCGAGCTGCAGGAGGACCAGGCGGGCGGCGGCGGGGAGGCAGGGGGTGGCGAGGGCCGGAGTTGAGGGACGTAGGTTTTGGGCAGTTGGAGTAGCTTTCTGCGCGGGTCCCCCAAACATCAAAATTAAGATTGGGCTGTCAGTGTTTGTTCTCTTTTGCCCGCCGTTCGAGGCGGGCGATCGCACTTGTCGGGTTTGCTACGGTCTCGATGCCGCTAATCAAAGTCGGTCTGGAATCAAGGCCGCTGCCTCGCGAATGGAAGAGAGGAGGAGACGAGCCTTGCAGCTGCCGGGGAGGGGGGCGGTCGCCGCCGCGCAACGCGCGAGGGGCAATAGGGAGGCGCACGGGGAGTTAGGAGCTGGGCACTGGAGGGTAAGGGGAAGGGGCAGGGCCACGCAGCGGACGGGGATAGCGAACGTCATGGAGCCCGAATAGGCGAACGGCGCAGAGGGGCTTCGGGGGAGCAGTAGCAGAAGACGAAGGCGACGATTACAATTGAAATAAGGCGCGCCACGCAATTTACACAGTGGTGTGCATGCAAATACTGTTGCAGCCAAGCTGCACCCGCAATGCAAACCGTGTCAGCAATAGGCAGGCTGACGCGACAATGTCCCACATGCGCAGACGACTCTTTTCTCAACCACAGGCAGGAGTTCCGTTGCCATTTCCAAACGGACCCCCCACGTCGTCATCGTTGCGGTTGTCGTCGTAATCATCGTCGTCATCGGTTCGACGATATCCAATGCGAACGAAACATTTGCCTGCCATGGATTTTGGGTCGGCTTGGACACCCCCGCGTCATTGCGATGTCTTTACACTCTTCGCTCGAACAACTGGTGTGGGTCTTCTCCGGTATATCTTTTCTTCGGCGCCCGAGGGGCGACCGAGGGGCGCATCGTGGGATGCAGTGGGACGCTCTGGGCCTAGGCGAAGTCTACGTCTCTCGTCTTGTACGTAGTTTTCTAGCTCCTCCTGGGGCGCGGTGACGCACCCGACCTGTTTCCCGTCTTTGCCGCTAAGTACTGGTCTGTACGTGCTCGCCCCGTCCGAAACATCAGATGTACATGTAGCCAGCCGTTAAGTGTACATCTGTACGTGCTGGTTTCGCCTGTGACATCTGCGCAAAACGGAGCACGTGCAGTTGCGCCGTTAGCGAGCGGGGCAGGGTGCAGAGAGAAAGCGGCGACGCCCGCACCCGACGTGCACTGCGCCCCCGCCGCTAAGTGCTGGTCTGTACGTGGCCCGTTTTCGCGAGGCATCGGCTGCCCGTTGTTCCCGCCGCCGAGGCCCAGTCCATGGGCCGCTTCCCGTCGATTTTCCATCCCGAGCTATGCTACAACAGAGGGGGTCCGTTGTAGCAAGCGTCGGGGGGGTTTTAAGTTGCCCTCCAAGACGGCATGGGAGGGCCCCAAGATGGCTACAAGACGGCCCGGGGGGGCAAAAGGATCCCCAGAGGGCCCCAAAAGGGCCCAGGACGGATGCTAAAACAGAGAGGTCCGTTGTAGCATCCGTTGAGGGCCTTCCTGGTAATTTACAAGACGGCCTGGGAAGGCCCCAAGAAGGCCCCAAGAGGGCTCGAGATGGTTCCAAGATTGCCCAAAGGGGGCTAGAAGGGTCCCAGGAATACTCCAAAGAGGGTCCCCGACGGATGCTACAACAGTGGGGCCCGTTGTAACATCAGTCGGTCGCCCTCTTGGGGCCCTCCTGGGGCCATCTTGGCCCCCTTAGGCCGTTTTGGAGCCATCTTGTGGCCCTCTTAGGATTTTCTTGCGGCCATCCCAGGTTGTCTTGGAGGGCCCCAAGAGGGGTATCATCAATTTACAGCAGCTCGTCTGCAGAATGCGATGCAAGGTATCGTGTCCATCAGAACCCTCAGGAACGTGAGGGGGAAGGACGTGTCCATTCCCAATTTGGCTTCCAGCGGCCCGGATCGAATTTCTCAGGGAGCTGACAAGGTGGTTCCGGGCGGGCCGTTGGGAATTGAGCCCCGCAGTGCCCGGGCAGTCATTGTCACGGGTAGTTCAATTCGTCGGGCCTTACAGGAGCGGCCCACTTGGCCTAAGCTAGATCGGCTCAGAAATTGCGGTCACCACACATCTTCTTTGGATATTGATTGCCGCCCCCGGCCCCGGAACTAAACCGTTTTTTGCAAAGTGGCCGTCTGGGTGTGTTCGAGGAGGGAAGACTACGAGTAAAGGGCGAGGTGAGAAGGAGGAGGAGGAGGACGAGGAGGAGGAGGAGGAGTCCTGTCACCTCGTCCTTCGTCCGATCTGGTGCGCCTGATCTCCGCACTTACGCTTGTAGGGAGTCGGGGGGAGGCGGGCGGCGGAGAGGGGTGGGGCGGAGCGGCGCGGGGGGGGGGGACAAATCAGATCAAACTCTGGTGATCCATCCTCGTCCTGCGTCGCTCGTCCCTCCCTGCCCGTGCTCTCCTGTTTCTCCTGGCTCCGCGGCCGCTCTTGTTTCTCGCTGCCCATTTTCGTCATCGGTCTGGTCGGATCTCGTCGGTGCGCTTGCTATGGGGCGCGATGGTCAGATACATCGGGAATGCCAACTTTAGGCTCCGCGGGGTGTCGCGGGGATGGATCAGAAGTGGCAGCGGCTACCGCGGGCCCGCCTGCCTCCTCCATTCATTTTATTGTCCACGAGGCCAGTCGGAATGGCGGGTCGGGCGTTTCGCATGAGACTTTCTTACCATGTATGAGTGAGTTCAAACTTGGAAACTTACAACAGTTTCACATATTGATAGCGGGTCGCTTCAAAATGTGGCTCTCGCTTTAGCGCCGCGCGCATTCGTTTCAAAATTTGCTGGAGCTTCGCGGATTCAGGACAGGTAGTTTTCAACATGTGGTTCTCGCCTTTGCGCCGCGCACATTCGTTCTAAAATGTTGCAAGGGTTTCACGGATTGAGGGCGACTCGTTTTCAACATGTTGTTCTCGCCGTAGCGCCGCGCAAATTTGTTCTCAAGAGTTGCAGGGGTTTCACGGATTGAGGGTAACGTTTGATCATGTGGTTCTCGTTGTAGCACCGCGCGCATTCGTTTCAAATTGTATTGGAGTTTCGCGGATTCATGACAGGTCGTTTTCAACATGTGGTTCTCGCCTTTGCGCCGCGCACATTCGTTCTAAAACGTTGCAGGGGTTTCGCGGATTGAGGGCGACTCGTTTTCAAAATATTGTTCCCGCCACAGCGCCGCGCAAATTTGTTTCCAAGCGTTGCAGGGGCTTCACGGATTGAGGGTGTTTTCTTTCATCATGTGGTTCTCGTTGTAGCGCCCCGCACATTCGTTTTAGATGTTTGCAAGAGTTCTATGGGTTCCCATAGATATCGTACCAGAAATTGCGTTTCGGAGCGATTCAGGGCTGTCAGGGCGCAATGCTTCCGTTGGTTCGCAGTGTTGATTCCCAGACATGTTTTTCTTGCACAATTCAGAATCTTTCAGACGCAACAGTCATGTTGACTGGCGGCGTTGAAATCATGATAATGGTGTTTTGGTGCGTTTCAGGATCCTCCAACGGGGCACTTCCCTCAGTGGAGATGAGTCCATGTAAGGGCCTATGACGAAGGATTCTGGTTGAAGGGTATATTCCAACATCGTTGATGAGTCCTGGGTTTGCACTGGTCCTCCCTCCTCGTCTCCTCCTCTTCGTCTTCTCCTCATCCTCGTCTCCTCCTCGTCTCCTCGTCTCCTCCTCCCCCTCTTCCTCCTCCTCTTCCTCCTCCTCCTCGGGGGCGCCCCCAGCGGCGCCGGCAGCAATTCTGTGCGCACGGCTGGGAGCACCCAGAATCCCAGGAGGGGCCCCGCCCGCGCTCCCTGCGGCCAGCCGCTGCGGACCCTTGCTGGTCGCGCGCCAGTTCGATGTGCTGGTGCCAGTGGTTCAGCCCTCCTCGGCTGATGCGCTGACCACTGGCACCATCAACTCAGACACCTGGGCCGGGGCCAAAGCAGTCGGTGAGTGGGTGCAGGCGCGAGGGAGGCGGCCCGGCATCCTCTTCGTCCAGAAGTCCAGGTTCTTCGACGGACGATGGGATGATCGGTTAGTTTTGCCCATCACTGGTGCGCAAGGCAGGGGTTGCAGTTGGTCCAAGGGCCTCTCCAGCGCACGGGGCCAGGGAGGTTGGTTGTCTCCGGCGGCGCGGGCATTCCGACATCCAATTGCATCGGCGTCAGCCAGGCCGCTAGCATCGACGAGCGCTGGGCCCACTGCGTCATCATGCGGCGTGCGCCCTTCGGTGGCGGCAAAACGTTGCTCCTGATATCTCTGAATCTGGTCGTCTCTGTCAGCGGCGCGGGGCGCGCGGTCAAGCCTGGTCGCCCAGCTTGGGCACGTCTATTGGCTCGGAGGGTGAGAACATGGACCTGTCGGAGTCCGCGGGCGGCCTCGTAGGGCAGTCCGGCGAACCCCTCCCGATTGGGGCCGACAGGAATTTCGATCCTGAGGCGCTCCTGGCGCCCCGCTGGGTTGGTCAAATTTGGGAGCGTGCTGCTGGCGTCGGACATGCCGACCTGCGGGCCATCGGAGTACGATTTCTTTGTGGTTTCGTCGGCGCTTGCGCGCAGGGCTGAGGCGCCACGGGCCATTTCGGATGCTGGCACGCACTTTTGCGTCGGCCTGCGCCTCCAGAGTTGCAGGGCGGCCCTTAAGGTGCGGGTCGAGAACCCGCGCGGAGCCTTCAGCCTCCACAAGACGAATGATGCGATCCTGAAGCTACAGGTGTTCGTGGAGGCTTTGGAGGCCAAGCTGACTGAATTGTCGCAGCCGCTAGATGATTTGGCGCGGCTTGCAGTAACTGGTTTGGCTTAGCGGAGCGGCACCTATCGAAAAAAACTGGAGGTGAAGCCAGCCAGCGTTCGGCGCTATTTCAGCCGTGGCGAGGGCATCAAGATGATCGTCTAGCCGCCAACCAGCGAAACCTCGACACCTCCAGCACGGAGGCTCGGGCTGCAATATTGCGCTGCTGGCGCGCTCTGTGGCGCTGGGGAAGGCGAAGGCAGGCTCTCGCGTTCGTCGGCAGTCC